TTCTCCTCTCGGGAGAGCACCTTTTGACCTGGGACATCCGATCCGACCGCCTCCTGCGGTTGCTCTTTTGGGGCATCACCGATGGGAATCTGTCCCACCTGTCCGCCAATTGGGGCGGCGGGAACCTCAGACTTTGCCGGTGTCGGGGTGGCACCAGAAGCAGAAGATTTGCGCGTGAGTAGTGGCGTATACTGAGAGTACTGCGATGCCAGAAAACCATGTCAGCGCCAGTGTGCTATGTTTACACGTCCCAAAGTGATGCTTTGCCGAACAACGTCTCATTTGGCTATGAATCCCAGTTCCAAAATTTCAAGGCAACAGAGCTTTAACGGACCGGCCTCGACAGGCCGTCACAATCCTCTCTCCGGCATACCCCTACCTGGGATAAAAGCAGTGGTGTTACTTACGTTTTCATGGAAAGTGTTGCAGTCAAAGTCCCACGAGCCAAGAAGCTTGACACGGTTGCACTCGGCCTTGGTCCAAGGGTTTCCGTAGGCCAAAGGCGAGAAGAGCACGAAACCGACAATGGTAAGAGCCAAGAGGGCGACGGCACTGACGCGGTTGACAATGGGGTTGTTGCGAATGCCACCAAAGGAGACTCGAGCTGTTACAAAGTCAAATGTTGAGCAGAAAGCTATGACCGCGAAGTAAAGGGCCGGAAAGTAGTGGTGAAGAAACAGCTGACGATCCATCAGGTAGAAAGGGAAGTAGTGAAAAGCCCAGCCAAGCACCGCCGTGCCGATCTCGTAGTCGAACCGCTTGAAGGTAGTATTGGCATAATCGTTGCATTTACGTTGCCAGCGGAGAGTTGCAATGCCCTTGAAAAGAACATAGACAACAACAGCGAGGGTAGAGCTCCACCAAACAATAGGGTTGCCTAGCAAGTAGATCTGACGGTTGTCCCTGCCCCAGAAGTTGATGCCGCGCTTGAGAAGCGGCCACGCGCTAGGACGGGAATCCCAGGCGTGAGATTCGACCAAACCGGCATTGGTCTTCCACATAACCTTCTGAAGCTCCCAAAACTTGCCAAAGAAGCCGGGGTTACGGTAGTTAACCTTCTCGACGTTGTCACCGGTCAACTGAGGGTGCTCATTGTATTCGATGTACCACAAGCTATTAGGAAGCGTGCCCCCTCTGGCGCATGTGACCTCCTGTTGCTCGGAAGCCCACTCAGGGAGCTTGACCTTGTGAGAGAAGAGTACGCAACCAGTCATGATGTGGACCAGTCTGAACTTGGTCTCGATGGTGCGAAGGCGTTCCTTGGAAATGGGGCTGAGCGACTGCTTCTTGACAATCTCGATCTTGAAAAGGTCGTTGGCATCACCCTCAAAGCCTTCATAACCGTAAGCAGAAACTTCGTTTTGCCAGTCAGCCTCGGTCACAGGGGGACGAACGTCGTGAGAGTGCAGGCGGCGGAAGGTAGGCATGTGGTATAAGCGAATGACATCACCATCCTTGATGAAGACCGGTTCGGGGAGGTTGTTCCAGGCTTGAGTTCCATTGATCTGCTCGCCATTAACCCCAAGCGGCTGGGTCTGGTTCTCGAGGAGCCAAAGGTTGTTCTCATCCTTATGAGGGTAAAGAGTAATTTGCTGCTGCTTGCTGCCGGTAGGGTACATGAGCGGATGGGAGTGAAGGTAGCCACCCTGTGTGTTGACGTGTCTAATACTGACGCGGCTTCCGAAGGCGACATCGGCCGCCACATCCTGCATGCCCTTGGAGTTGAGAGTAGACTGGAACTCGGAGCTCATGAAGCCATCACCGTCACCCGGGTTGACCAGACAGAGGAAGTGAATGGCGAACATGGCCATGTAGAAGCCAAGAGGAATGATGATTAGGGCGAAAGCACGAGCCATGAAGTGCTTGGCCCAAAGGCGCGGTGTAACGTTCTTGGTGTCTCCGAGAAGAACCCAGAGCTGGATAAGTGTCAAGCTGCCCACCCAGGCGATGGTGAACAAGCCGACCCACTTGATGCTGACAGTCGTTCCCAAACCCAAACCAGTCATCAGCAGCCAGAACCACCAGCTAAGTTGGAAAGCTTTCTCAGGACCCTGCTCGTGCTGGTTCGTGAAGGACTGGAAGGAGAGAGCGGTGAAGGCGGTTGCAACCATGAGCGGAGAGTCGAGGAGAATGAGGCGGGCTTGAGTAAGAAGGCCGTTCTCTAGCAAAGTGTTAGTGATATCTAGAAGGTTCGGGAAGATATGGCTTTCCGTACCGAAGATGATCAGGCAAGAGCCCATCAGAGCTGTTGTAGTACGGCATCCGGTGGTCTTCAAGGTAAGGAACATTAGAGGGGCCAGCAGAATCCCGCAAACGGCGGGGAACATGCGCATGGCGACGTAGGGAACGCCAGGCTCAAGGTAGTCCTTGCCAATCTCCTTAAAGTCGAAGTCGCCGTTGAACCCAGCCAACCAACCGGTCAGGGCAATAAGCATCTTGGCTAGGGGCGGATGGACATCCATGAAAAACCTTCCTTTGATGTATTTCGAAGCGAAGCCACCGAAGCTGCAAGAGAACAAGGTCAGAAAAGGGGCCCATCATATGGGTTATGTCTCATGATAGGTGTTCTTACTGGACCTCGTCAAAGACAACACTTGTGGGCTGGTAGATGCGGAACAGACGAATGATGGCAGCGAGAAAGGTCAAGCCCAGCATGATCTGGTAATCGGAAACGGGCAGAAGGAAGATATCGTTGTCCTCGACACCGTCGGACTTGTAGCTCGGTTCGCGCTCGACAGGTGCTTTGCCATTGATACCATTGGCGCCATTGGCAGGCTTCTCGAGCTTGGGGCTCGGAGAGCCAACTGGCTTGGTGGCGGACATCGTGGATGGAGGTATTGGTCGGGTCGTGAGTGTCAGACGCAGAATGGTCGGATATGGTAAGGAGCTCGTTTCCTCGCCCTCAACGATAGCAGCAGCAGTTTACTGACAGCGACGACGGACGAGGATGATGGAGGTCGACTACTAGAAAAGATAGGATAGAGGTTTTCCTACGTTGGCAGAGTCGCAGAATGGTGGAAAGGGGATCAACGAGAGTCGAGAAGGGAAGGCAAGCATTAAAAAGCCGTCATGAGGCAAAGATAAATGAAGGATGGCGACCTGGATGAATGGCCCCAATGGTGTCGATATAAGGGGACGGGAAAATAAAGGAGGATACTTTTTTTCCTGAGAGTTGGGAGGGTGGAAGATTGGACCAGGGGGGATGGGGAAAATAGAAGTAAGTCTGTCGACAGAAAGTTTGACCGCGGGAGCTGATGACAGCTTGGGGGGAAGGCCAGGCTGGAAGGGAGGATAAGGGGGTCAGGGTCGAAGTTGTAGCTTAAGTGGCCTCATCCCATATAGTTTGACAGCCAGCGATTGGTCGAAGCTAGGACCTGGGTCCTCCAGTGATCGCCTCCCCATCATCATCCATGTCCCCTAGAGCCTACAGACACTATCCACGCCCCCTACCTTAACAAGATTTCTATGATTCCCCAGCATGAGCCCCTAAACGGACATACACGTTCGAGGACCTGGTAAGCGTACTCAGTCTACCTAAGAAATTATTTGAGAAGAGTCGAGAACAACTGTCTGTAGCTACCCGGGTATATATATGTTGCCCTAAATCTGCCAGCGAACCGGTCTGCCCGTTTAGTTCCATCTGCCACGCAGCGAACCCAGCCCTTGAGGGACATGTACATCCATAGGTAGCATTCTTGACTACATAGTAGCATTGGGGCCGCCCCCCCGCAGATCCGCCTCGCTGAAGGGGGGCTTGGTGTTTTCCCTACAGAGGTATAGATACAAGACGGTCCCTCGTGAGGTCGCACAGGTACACAATATTGACCATAAAACAAGAGTACCTGAGGGAACAGACTTTACGCGGTTCAGGGTACCTATTTATCACTACCACTTGTACTAAGCATGCGTTGACTCAGGACTGTTGTTGGACAAGTATCTTGATTAGCGAGATAGCTACCTAACTATCTAGCTACATATAATTTTTTTTTATTTTTCAAGAAATTGGAGAACAAAAAAATTAGAAAAAATTAATGTGCTTAGTACACTGCTTTAGTATCTGGACGCCTGTCACCTGTGCTTCTCTAGCGCCAAAGTGGATGGTTGAAGACGCGCTATTGTTCGTTATGCCCGGTCTCTGTAAAGTTCCATCTTCCACATCGATGCTCTCCACTATTGACGGACTTGGCCAGTGCGTATCGACTTATCCGTAAAGTGACTGGAAAAAGAAGAAAGACCGGGAACAGAGGCGGTGTGCAAGATAACTCTGCCTCACATTATTCATGACACATAAACACCTGTGTTTCCCTCCCAATGTACTGCCAAGAAACTGTGGTGATGCTGTATCTTTATCCCGGACCTATTATATCAGCACCTGATTCTAGACGCCACAGTTACGTACCAAGCGTTCAATGAATTCTTGGCGATTTGAAAGCAGACTTAATCCCTTGCTCCCCGTCCAGCAATTGACTACTCCCGGCAAACATGAGCTTTTGATTGAGATAAAATGGCAAATTGCTAGTAACAAACACAACAGTCTCCCCTCCTTTTGTTGTTTCTTCCTCTTCGTCTTTTTTTGCCCTCTTCTCTTTGAGTTTGGATGTGGCGAAGGGGCACTGGGGTAATTAGGCCTACCGACATGCGCCGAAGCCTCTGGTTGGTAACTACCAAAACAGCACTGTCAGTATGTGGTGCTGATCAATCAATGGCTCTCTGCAAATGTGATTTTGGACGAGCAGTCAAAGCAATAACATGATGCGCGCCAACATATATCATGTTGGTTAAAGATTGTGGGGGTGAAATGGACCGTGCTTCCCTTCCCTGAGAATGAGATGCATGTGCTGCTGACTAAGGAACAGGCTAGCCAATTCGGGGTGTCTGCGAAAAAGCTAACAGAGGCTACCTATAGAGCTTTGTTCACCCTGTTTGGTTTGACTTCTCGCAAGCTCCACGCGCCGCGTCCTGACGACATCAACCCCGATTGCGCGCGCTTCCCACCCAACATGGCCTCGACCTCGACCAACGCCGATGCCACTGCTGCGCTAGACGAACTCAAGCCTCCCGTCGGCGTTGTTCTGCCCCCCCGCGAAATTCGAAATGTTCTCGAGAAGACGGCAGGCTACGTCGCACGCAATGGTCTGATTTTCGAGGACAGGATTCGTGAGAAGGAGCGCTCCAACCCAAAGTTCAGCTTCCTGAACAATTCCGATGCCTATCACGCGTTCTACCAATGGCGACTTGATGAGATCAAGGCCGGTCGCGGCACCGCTATCGCTGCTGGCCGTGCCAACGAAGCCGCGACACCTGCCGAACAGAAGCCTAAGGGCCCACCCAAGCCTCCTGACTTTCAGTTCTCTGCTCGCATGCCTCGTATCAACCAAAAGGATCTCGAGGTCATCCGCCTGACTGCACTTTTCGTCGCCAAGAACGGCCGCCAATTCATGACCCAGCTTGCCCAACGCGAGGCTGGCAACCCCCAGTTTCAGTTCCTCATCCCTAACCACACATTCCACAACTTTTTCCAGCACCAGGTAGACCAATACACGACATTACTGAGGGCTAGCGGACTGGGCGGTGAAGGAGGCAAGTTGGAGCAAGAGCGTATTGCTCATCTCCAGCAGAACATCGATGACAAGTACCATGTCCTGAGCCGTGCAAAGCAACGCGCCGAATACTCCAAGTTCCAGGAAATTGAAAAGCAGAAGAAGGAGGAAGAAGACGAGAAGAAGAAGCTTGAATTTGCACGGATCGACTGGAACGACTTTGTGGTTGTCGAGACAATCGTTTTTACCGATGCCGATGAACATGCGAACCTGCCGCCTCCGACGAACCTCTCCGAGCTGCAATACGCGTCACTTGAGGAAAGAAACAAGGCTTCAATCACCAACCTCCGTATTGAGGAGGCTATGCCGACTGACGAAGAGACAACTTTCAACGCTTACCCGCAGACCTCCCACTCCCAGACTTTGCCAGTACACACGGGGTATGCGCCTCAGCAGCCTCAGCAGGCGCAGGCTCCGGCGGGACACCAGCCGTACCAGAACGGTCCCTCGCAGCATTCGGCAGAGGAGGAGGAGGAGGAGCGGAGGATCCAAGAGAGAACGGAAGCGCGTGCCCGGGAGCAGCAGGCGCGGGCTGAGGCACGTGGTGGCTCTGCTCCAATGAAAATCAAGGAGAATTACGTGCCAAGAGCACTCCAACGGGCGGCCAACAAGCAAAGTGTTCAGATGGCGCTATGTCCAAACTGCAAGCAGCAGATCCCCATGGATGAGCTTCAAGATCACATGAGAAGTAACTACACCCTGCCTATCTCAAAAATGACCTTGAACTGGGCTAACCACTTTCGCAGTCGAACTTTTGGACCCCCAATGGAAGGATCAAAAAGCAAAGGCAGAGGCAAGATATGCCACGACCAACTTGTCCACGGCTGACGTCGCGAACAACCTGAAACGCCTAGCAAGTCAGCGAAGCGACGTGTTCGACGGCGTTACCGGCCAGCCCTTGTCGGAAGAAGAAGCCTCCCGGCGCAAGAAAGCCGCGATTCACAGCTTTGATGGTAACCCCGACGGAAAGAGCCAAGCACACATCAACCACCTGCACAATCTGAACGTCGAGGAGCAAATCCGGGCTATTCACCAGAGGTTTGCCGACAAGAAGTAGGCTGAGACAATCCGACGATGATGCCGCGAGAATGGATCACAATGATTTCATTGACTACTGCCATTCGATGTTTCGCACAGCTCAGGCTTGGCTGTGCAGTCCTTTGTGATTCGTCTGCCTGCCTTTCTGGCCAAGGTGATGAAGCGGCTGCCCGACCTTGACAACAGACAGCAGCGGAGATTTGTATCGACATATGTATGGAGGCTCGGTTTAGGAGGGCATTGGCGTTTACCGGTTTCTTGAATTCATGTGACTTGTTCGATGTTCCAGCATTCCTCATTCGGCTTTAAGACGCGTTTGCAGTAGTTGGTGCAGTACGACGGGGTGTGGCGGCTTAGCGTCAGAAGTGGCTACCGTCGAGAATGAATTAAGCATGGCGTACCATGGGGCGTTAAAATGCATGTTGCGGATATTGTATTTGTATACCGGCATATATGCGAGTCGAATACGCTGGGAGAATTGAGATGAAGAGCTGAGGAGGGCTATCTACAATTGACAGATGGGCTTCAAATGCTAGGGGGTTTCTAAACGGAATAGAAACGTCGAGATTCCCAAGCAATCGAAATGCAACCTTAACCTCCGTATGTATGCCTTGGCTTGATTCTGGGATTGACTAAATAGCTCGGTCAGTCAGTTCAGTCCAATCTGTTCACTTTCACCCCACCTCAATCAGGCACGAAGGGCGCCCCCACCTCACAGACGGTGCATCGGCTCAACCCCTCTCTTATCCTGCCCGCATTGTAATCGCCGAATCAGTTGTCGTAGCGGCTGCAGCCGATCTGGGCTGACTACTGATAATTGCTCCCCCGCAAATACCAGCTAAACAATGCTGCCCTCCTTGCGTTTCTATCGTAATCGGCCGCCGTCGCACCATTCCCCCACCTCACTCGCACCAAGACTTTTTACCGGGGCACCACTTCACCACAACATCCAGATCGCAACAGTCCACGTAGGCCTCCAGCCATCCGCATTATTGCGAAGCAGGAAGAGGAGGGTCATCCCCCGTTTACCGAATCGAAAACAACATCACCTCGTCCCATATCTCGCAGCCGCGCTCGCATAGGTTCACACGCCGTCTCGTGTGTCGGCAGCTTCCCCTCGGCACAAGCAACTCAACGACCGATCCTTGCTCCCCCAGGAAAGTCGCCAAAACGGATTCCCATAACCAAAACGCCGCTCGCGCTACCGGCGCTGAGCCCACCTCCCCTACATCCCCGACCGGATCGCAGGCGGGCAGTCAGGCCTCGCCGCGCTTCCATCGGCCCATCATGCAGGCAATGCCGGACAACCGACAGCAGTCGTTTGACGAGATCTACGGCCCGCCCGAAAACTTTCTTGAGATCGAGGTGAGAAGCCCGCAGAGGCCGGCATCTGCAGCAGCCGACGCCCTCCCGCCAACTCGTTGCTTCCCTTGTCCTGCATACCCTGCCACTCTACCCGCTAAAGTCCCCGTGAGACCTTCCTAACGTTCTCGAGTCACAGGTCCGCAACCCTCGAACCCATGGCATGGGCCGCAGTATGTACACCGATTATGAGATCGTCTGCCGCACCAACATCCCCGCCTTCAAGCTCCGCGCCTCGAGCGTGCGCCGCCGTTACTCCGACTTTGAGTACTTCCGCGACATCCTTGAGCGCGAGAGCGCCCGCGTCACCATCCCGCCCCTGCCCGGAAAGGTCTTTACGAACCGCTTCAGCGACGACGTCATCGAGGGCCGCCGTGCTGGCCTAGAGAAGTTTCTGCGCATCGTCGTCGGCCACCCCCTTCTTCAGACAGGCAGCAAGGTCTTGGCCGCATTCGTGCAAGGTAGGTTTGGTGACGGCTCCCGGTGTGAGGAAGGTGTAGACGGCTGATACGATAGGATTTCAGACCCCAACTGGGACCGTAACGCATGGTGACTGAAGCTCCGGCTCACTTTCTTGCCATCAGCTTCGCGAACACCCAAAAAATTGCGCAAACGACCGCCCAGGCACCATCGCGTCGATACACAGCTGGATGCGCTGGCTACAAAGAGCTCCATCTCTTCTGAGTGATCTCCTTGGCGAGGAAAGAAAACGACGTCCAAAATGGAAGCGCTAGTCTCATGAAGGGATGGGGTGGGTTGGCGGTATGGGATGTGTCTTTTTCTCCTATTGAGGAAGGAACCTTTTTTCTAGTGGAGTTTTGTGTGCTGTTTTTTGTTGATGTTACTTACCACTTATCCGTAGCATGTCCTCTTCTATACTGTTCCCCTTGCGCCGAGCATGAACTCCACCGAGACGGGCAGCATCAGCGTTGCTTTCCTCCTCCAAGGGGGGCCCGAGGAGATTGGCGTTCTAAAATTGATAATCATGGCTGTTACCTTCTTCCCAGCCTATAACTCGAACGGAACGAGGCAGATAATAAACGTTGGTTCCGAGACCGGAGGGCCGGCATAAATAAGTACATTCGTCCGCGCGTTAGCTTGTATTTCTGGCGTAAGTTTGATCAACTGCTGCTTACAAGTCCATGCCCCTCTTCCATCCTCATCCTTGAAGACGGGAAAGAAGCAGATAGTTGGTTGCTTGACGGGAATGCAAGCCTTCATTGTCGAACAGCAACCATGAAACTTGTCTAGCTGAAACCCCACCTCTTAGCAGGTTAACCTTCCTGTTTACTAAAATAACGTATCTTGCTTATTTCTTCTTTGCGTTTCTTTCTTGTTCGTTCTTCATCACTCTGCGCCCCCCTTTAGTGTCTTCCTCGTTCCGAAACGTCGACATGGCATTCGGAAACATGCCGAGAGGCTTTAGTGTTTTCCCTTCAATAACTAACTTTCAAGAACTGATGGGTAGACGGACTCTTAAGATTCAATTATTACATGTATATTATACACTGAGTGCATCATCGGTTCAAGGAAAACCCTCTTGAGGTATTCTTGACTATGTGCAACATGTTTGTGCTCAACTGTCGGTAAGGTTGTCGCTTTTCCGCGGAACGCCATCCATCTGATAGTCCCCCATCACATCCAAATGGCACAAGACTCTCCACTGAACAAGAAAGCTGCTTCTCCTACGTGAATGGACCTGTCCTAGGCCGTGGACCACTCTTTCCCATATAAAAAGGTTTGGAGTCTTTCTCACTCTATTGTACATGCAAAACTGGTTGATGTTCTTTTTCTTCTCCCTTTTCCCCATTTCAAGGGAATAGGAAAGTTTGCTTTTGGGCGGCCAATTCCTATAGAACACAACGTTAAATTTTGAGAAGGGAAGGTCTTGTCAAAATGCAAAGCTTGTGGTGAGTTTTCGTTTCCTTCATCCCTCGATCCGTTGGTCCCAGACCTGCGATAACTAGTGATTGCTGGTTCTTGGGCTTGTAGTGAGTATAGTACAGAAAATTATGTGTTTTACACCCAAGGCGTCTTGGATAGTCGACGATGCTGATGAGCTCCCCGCTGGCAGTAGGAAGTTATCAAACCAAACGGTCGTCATCATCGTTGTCTTCGTCTTCGAAGTCTCTGCCATTTTGTATTGTCGTCGATAGTCGAAGATGGCGGTGGCTATTTGCCAACGACCATGAGAGTTACAAGCTTGCGGCGGCCTTGTTGGGGGCACCAAATATACGCAGTATGCCCTCGTACATGCCGAACATGATGGCGGCGCTGGGGACGGTGCGCATCAGATGAGGGGTGAGACCACCGTAGAGACCCATGAAGCCTTCTTCAATCCATACAACGCGGAAGCATTGCCAGAGGCCAGTGTACTTGAGTTGTCCGTTGGCAAGTGGTGCCTGCCGTAATCTCGTCCGCGCGACCTATGTCCGTGATGTTAGCCATATATGTTATCACGAAATATATGGACGCGACAACTTCTTACCTCATGGGGATAGGCCAAGATGGCCGCGACCAACTTGGCACCGCCAGCAGCGCCGGCATTACCCATCCAATCGACCGTTTGGTCCCACAAATTCTTCTCCCTCCCACTTGCTATTATGCGCTTCTCCCTCGCTGCCAGCTTGTTCTTGATCTGCTCGTACAGAACCCACTGTAGTGTGCTCTCAGCGACACCCAAATAACTCGCGCTCATGCCTTTATATAAGCCCTTGAACCCCTCAGTGCGCAGGACCTGCCTGATGCAATCCACACTATTGCGGTACTGTCGCTTGTGCAAGCCACCCTTCTGATTCGCCACATTCTTGTCGAGTTGTAACCGGGTCTTGACAAGCCATATGGGATTCGTCACTGTGCTCGTCGTCACGCCCGCTAGTATGCCCGCTGACAAGTGGACCCATGCCGCCTCGTTTCCGCCGTTGCTGTACTCAGCGATCAGACGCTTGCCATTGCCATAGGTGTAGAAGTTGATGCTCCTTGCGGGGATGACACCAACGAGGTTCGGGCCGAGGCCTTTAAACAGCGCGCGGGGACCCTCGGTTTTGTAGACGGAACCGAGAATCTGAAATGTTTCTCGTAGATGAAATAAGGCTACCCTGAGGGGGCTCAGAGAGCCGAGGGCCTGGGAGCGGGCTTGGTGGGAGGCACGGAGTTGTGCTTGATAAAAGTCGGACTGTAGGCGGGTCTTGAGAACGTCAAGGGGCGCTGTCAGGGTCGCCGCTGTCATGCCTCCGACACTGAAGAACAGGAGAGCGCCGTCAGCTTCTATTCACACAAAACGCTTTCTTCCATTAGGGGGGCAAGAAGAGAAGGGTCAAGACATACCCTCCAGCAACAAAGTGCACCCACGACTTAGCAAAAGGTGACTCCTTCACGCTCACGGACGGGTTTTGTTTTGTGTCGGGAATGATGTCGCCATTTTCTCGGGAGACTGGGTAAGAGGTGGTATCGGGAACATGGCGCGCGGCCGGCCTGCCGCCTGTTGCAGACATGAACTCGGGATGGACGGGAGAGTGAGCCATCAGGCGAAAAGTGGCGACGGGCAAAGGGGCCAGCTATTTAGGAAAAGAACTGCTAGGTGCGGATGCGCTAGGATATTGGATGCGGTCCACCATGCAATATATCGTCTCTTGGGCGAGCTAAGATGGCGGCGGCTTGCGACAGGTGTCGATGTTCGAGGGGGAGGTCGTTACATCGAGGTCATGTCGTGGGAAGTGAGGGAGCAGCTCGTCATGGATGATGATGGGAGACACGGGCAACTTTTTTTTTCTTGCTCGATAAGAGAGAACGCGCCGGTCACAACCTCCGCTAGATGGTCCGTGCTCTATGGCGCCCGACTTAGTCATTCGACGCGTATCGACGACCCCTGGTTCTGAACTGAGCAAGAATATGACACATTTCAGGATATATAGATACATAGCAAGCTGTCGAGCGTTTGGCCGGAAAGAATGCTCAGGTTATTGATAACCCTGTTACTACAGACCATGTTAACGTCTGCGAAGCCGTTCTCAGATTGGTCGCACCTTACAGAGAGTTGGTAAGCAGTTGTGGACCAGTGCGATAGCCTTGATGGTTAGGAGTGAAGCGACCGGGGATATATGCTAGCCTAGCTAGGCCCATCGTGACGGGTAGTAGAAATATTAGGGTGTCGCTTCCTACTAAAGTTGTGATCAAGAGTATTGTCCCGATTCTTTGGTATTCAGCATGTCTTGTAGGAAGCAAGTTTTCGAGGACGCTTGGAAAGCTGTCTTTTTGAATGAGCAGATACATATTGGCATGTCAAATGGTTGATAACATGTATAAAACCAACCACAATAGCAAGCAGTAGGACTGGCTTGTTTGTATATCGTTATGAGTATCGTTTTTTCTTCCTTAACTTCTTTCCCACCTTGGTCGTACTTCGCAACACACACACGTTCGCATATACACATACTACACACACACACACACACACACACACACACACACACACACACACACACACACTCTCTCTCTCTCTCTCTCTCTCTCTCTCTCTCTCTCTCTCTCTCTCTCTCTCTCTCTCTCTCTCTCTCTCTCTCTCTCTCTCTAGACGTTCTTTCGAATCCTTCCCGTCCGCCCCTCACTTTTAAAAGAGCGCGTTCGGTGCAGAGGCGGACAAAAGTAGCTCCTGTCACATTTGTCTGCCGTATAAACCGTGTTAGGCTATCGTCCAGCCATGGTGCTTGCAGGCGTTGAGTTGGCATCCCGCGCATCAGCAGCTGCTGTTGCAGCCGACGCCATGTGGCTAAGCAACAGGTCCCTTTTGATACTGGGGAGTTGCTCTCCCCTCTGTGACTCTGGCATCCATGGCTTCTGGTTTGGGGGTGGAGGCTCATGCTCTACGTCCATGAAGCTGCTCGTTCTACTGCGGGAACCTGGATCCAAAGGCGATCGCTGGCGGTGTTCTTGCTGCCCTCTGCTAGTGGGTCGAGATACGTCTCCTCCTGGCATGAGATTGTTGGATGGTGGCGGCGGTTCGTTGGACCGACCGTCGTCCTGTGTTGGGTCGTATCGTAATAGCCTCGCCGGCACTGGGTGAGCCGGGATCGGCTCTGCATGTGTCTCATCGGCACTACTGCTTGCTTCACGGTTGAACCAGGCGATCTCTTCTTCGGTAATGGTTTTCCATCCGCACTTGGCGTGTTTTTTTGTGCAACCTTGGCAGGCCGTCAAATGTTTTACGCATGGCGACTTGAGTCTGCGACAGCGGTCGCATGGTGGCCAGATTTGATCGCCCTTGTTCAACTTCTCTATCCTAGCCGTGATGATGCCTCTGTGTGCCGATGACGGGTCGTACGATGAGTCTCGTTGGGGAATAGCGGGAGCGTGCACGACAGCCGGGCGACCCTGCAACGGAAGTGAGTGTGGGTGAGGATTTGTCGCAGGTGGCGTGTGTTGGCCGGTGGAATGTGCAGTCTCGAGCCCAGCGCTGGAAGGAACCCGCGGAGGGTAAGCCTGGGAAGACGATAAAAATTGCTGGAGCAAGTCGGCGTGTAGGTCGTAGCCGGAGCCATGAGAAATATGACCTCTGGAGTGGTTGACTGGTTGAAACGCAGTGCTGCTTCCCTGTTGGCCGCCATGCCTTGAGTTGATGCCAGCCCTTCGGCCGCTCAGGTGGTAGTTCAATTGTCGCGCCCTCTTGGCGATTTCATCGGCCTTCTTGATAAGGACCTGTAGTCGCTGTTCTACTATTTCGAGCGTCGCCACTTCTGCTGTCTCGTCCTCCTCCAAAGGAGCTGTCGACACGCTAGAAAACCTGTCCAACGCACCATTCATGATGAGGCGCCAGTCATCCTCTAATATCTGGACCTGTACTCCGTTGAGGTAGAATTGGCAGGTACGTTCGCCATCGTGACCCGTCGTCAAGATAAACTTTTCGGGGTTCGTTTTGGCGAAAGTGACAATGTCTAGCCAGCCCAAAGGTGCCGCGCCATAGGCGGGCGGTGGATTGGTGATGATCGGGCCCTCGAATGCCCCCTCCATGGCCTTTAACAGACGAGGGCCTGTCAGCTTGGCGCCTAGGTTGGCAGCGAGACTCTCATGCCTATTGAGAACCCCTATTGTCGATGTTTGAGCTTGGCGTTCTATTTGCCCGGGTCAAAGAGCAGGAATGCGTACCTTCGTATTGATTCAAAAGGCCGAGCACGTCAGAGAATGTGTCGGGTTCTCCTTGAATCAGTTTGAGCCTACCAGGGTTGGCTTTAGACAGGTAATTGATGATGGATGCATTGCCTTTGGAGTGAACAATCAGTATTCGTTCAGTGGACGGACAAGACGAGATGCATGGCGAACGGGTGCGGCCAACTAGGGTAGAATTTTATCGCAGGACAATTTAAGCATTGCCAAGGGGCTTGGAACGAGCCGCGATGCAGATGGAGACAAACGACCAAGGGAACGGAGATGTAGAGGGGGGGGGGGGGGGGGGGGGGGGATAATGTAGAAAACAAAGGTGCGAGCGGCGCTGGCAGGCAGGCCGGGGCGAGGGATCAATGGCGAGTCTAACCTCGATTGCCTCCAGGCGCGACGACGACGACGACGACGACACGATGCAGTTGATGGACGAGATCAACGGCTCATGTTTTTCCGCGCGTGGCTTTGCTCTTATTCTTTCTTTTTGTCTTGGTTTTGTTGCAAGATTTCGGCCTTGGATCACACACACACTGGCGCACCGCACATACCTGACTGAGGCGGAGGAGGCTGGGGAATGCGATCAGAATGAGCTGGCTGCGCGCCGCTGTCGTCCGCGTCCCGTTTCCGTTTATGGGGCTCTTGGGAATCCTGGGCATGCGCCATGGCGAGAATGTCACCGGGTGAAGCTGGACGATCCTACGAGGGCAAGCTGATTTCTTTCTTGTTGTGGCCCCTTTCTCTCCCCCGTCAAAAAAAAATGAAAGCGGAAAGTGGTTGACCGAGACCAAACGTATGCAACACGAAGGCTGGAGCCTCGAAGTGTAACAAGAGGGAATCCGGAATCTAAGAGTTGGTTAGTTCATGGCGAAGCAGCACCTTATGAGGTGGTGGCAGCGGCGGCAACCAGACAGGGCCTGGCGAAGAGTGCCTCAGGTAGTAGTAACATGCGGGAATTGGAGTTTGGATGGAGCAAGCTTCGGCGGAAAGATGAACATGAAAAGTGCAAATCGAAGGGGGGAGGGGGCAACAGGGCCACAGAGCCAAGAAAGACTGGGGAAGGTGAGGACGAGGACGAGGAGGGTTGGAATCGGGTTTTGTTTTGGGATTTGTACGGGGGTGGACGGGGGACGGTGGGCCAAAATCTGGGGCGGGGAGCACAGGACGACGGGACTGGTTGGAATGGGGCGGGACGCGGGAGTCGGGAGACTAAGGTAAGGTAAAGGTGACTTACCGGCGGAGACCTCGCTGGTACCTAGGGAAAAGAGGTGTAGGGGGAAGGGAAGGAGGGAGGGGAGGGAATAATAAGTGTGAAGCAGAGCAGAGCAGACGGGATGGGATGGTATGGGATGGGATGGGATGGGGAATCGGGGAGGAGGCCCCGTTCCAGAGGGGGGGAAGAGAGAGAGAGAGAGAGCGGGCGGACGGGCGGAGGGCGGGCGCAGCGAGAGGAGAAGTGAGTTAACGGCGGACTGTCCAATGACGAAGGGGCGAAGCCAGTGCCGCGACTCCCTCTGTGTGTCGAAGGGTTTTAGAGTGAGACGAACGGTGGTCAGCCAGCAAGCAAGAGAGAGCGAGACAGCGCGAAGGAGAGAGGGAGAGGGAGAGAGAGAGAGAGAGAGAGAGAGCAGCGATGGTGGGAAATGCAGTGCTGTGCTGCAGGTGCAGACCACAATGCAGCAAAGGATGGGTGGAGTTCCACTAAACGGATGGGGCCGGGGGTGGAAGGGGCCCGCCGTGCATTTTTTCCCCTTCCTTTGTCAGACGGGAGGGAGCCTAAAAAGCTTGGACTGACGGAATCCGAGGACACCTGGGTCGAAGGTCTAACTCGAATAACTGATTTTGTTTTGTTTTCACAGATGGTGTAAGTGAGATAAGATGAGTTGGGATTCGGAAAGCGAGTGAGCCGGTGGGTGAGGTTTACCGGATTAGCTGCACAGGTTACAATTTGAATGGTGATGAGATGAGATACAAGGTAGCTGACTAGCTAGATGTGAGCAAGTAAGCCATGTGGTCAAATGGGGCCGAGAGAGTCTGTCTTTGGTCGCCATGAAAGAAGCCCGGCCATCTCTAACAGCGGTGGGCGGCTGGTCGTGACTGTTTCTCTAGTTTCGAGGTAATATGTACCCGGGGTTGACATGAACAGATGCCGTATCCGTTTGTCATTGAAACCTTCTTATGTAACGCTTAAGTCGGCAGCTTCTTTGCGTATAAGCGGGTGAGAGTGTGACTATGAGAGAGCATGAGAGTGGGGGGGGGGGATTTGGAGGTCGTTGATCTTGAGGTAATCGGCCGATGCGTTAATGCACTTTACCCCCCTCCGCGCAAGAAGAAGGCGCTGAGAAAGCAGAAATCTGGACGTCGGAACAGGCCAGCAAGCAGCAAATGATTACGAGCGGGGAGCGGAAGGACAGGACCCAAGAAGGACCCGACTCCAACACCTTGCATGCACAGCCCGGATACTGGGGCAGCATAGGCATCTAGCTAGCCAGTCGGTATTGAGTGTTTTCGAAAGGAGAGGGTTTTCCTACCCGCTCCATCTACACAATAGGAAGGGAGAGGAACCGTCGCTAATAGCCTTGAGATAAGCCTGCCTCGAAGGTGATGTTTTGCAGTTCGCACATACGCACACGCCCACGCACGCACACACGCACATACATACACGCACGTACATACACGCTTTCTCTCTCTTTCTCTCCCTCCCTCCCTCTCTATCTATCTGTGTATGGGTGTGTGTATGGGTGTGTGTGTGTGTGTGTGTGTGTGTGTGTGTGTGTGTGTGTGTGTGTGTGTGTATGCGTGTGTGAGTAAGTGTGGTAGGAAGAGGAAGAGGCGGCACTTGAGAAAGTCGGCGGCCGGTGGGAAAGCCAGCTAGTGTAGATCCTCACCCGCTCTCCCCGAACAGGTCGGAACACCGAGAAGGGTACCCCCCTCGTAGGACATGCATCGCATCTCTGATCTGATCCTCCGGGGAAGCGGCACACACCGTTTCTCAACTACTGGAAAGGCATTCCCGACTTGGGTATGCCGTCTTACCCTGCCCGCACCTACACTGCACAGTACGCTGACGGGTCGGCTCACCAGCGCCGAGAATGGAGGGGTGGAGCGGAAGACCACTCACCTCCCTTAGTAAGATACAGGACTCGATCCCTCAAGGAAGGAATACGGGTGCCCACTCATTTTGGGGCCCGTCGAATCTTTCTAGAAAGCTAAGAGGAGGAAACGAGGGAGACCCGACGATTAGGAAGCTTTGTCTCTTTCGGACGGAGAGGAACGCAATCCCAAACCTACGCTCTTGTTACTGGTCGGTTGATACAATTTTACATATAAATAAAATTGGTGTAATAGACTTTGCAAGACATCTACCTATCTAGGTACCTACAAGTAAATAGGCTGGTGAAGTATCCGTACCATGTCATTACTTGTTCATCATGCCGCGTAGTTGCACTGCACTGCACCGCAGAGATCAAGAAGCTGATATTTGTCTGTATTTCTGTCTGTCCACGCATGGCATGCTTTGTTTCTGTTGTTTTCTTGTCCTACCTGGGGGGATAATTCATTCCACCCCTGCCCCGCCAACACCCCTCAAACCTCACGTCGACAAACTAAAACGTCCCAACTTAGCAAACCACCAAACCGCTCTTCACCCCCACCCCCTTACACACGTGCGGAATCCCAAGATGCGCTGGGATGTAACAACTTCCGACGCTGATGGGCAAAACAGCCACATCATTTTTGAGCCTGCCATGTTGGGGTCATGAGCAGCGGACCCTCCTCAATCCGAATTCGCACATTGTTTTGATCATTTTGGTTCTCGTTGATTCATCATCCCATAAGGGCCACGAATTTTGAGCTTTGGGGGTTGTCTCTTTTCCCTCCCCTCGGCTTAGCCGTCCTCCACCCGCACTTGCGTCGCGTCAGGGCCTCGTCATCACGATACGTCAACCTGCCGCGTTGAGAAGTCCGAAACTCGTAGCCAAATGGCCGGAGAGTGCGTAATTTCACAATAAAACGCCCGCGGCCTCTCTCTAACTAACCAGCAAGGTCCGATGCCCCGGTCCATACCCCAGTTGCTTGTCGTGTAAGAAAGACTAGCGCGTCCCCTTGCCTCTTCATTGCTCATCATCAGAGTGGCGCATGGGCAATGCCAAGACATTCAGCAAACCACGAATGGGACAACCAGGAATCCTAACTACTACGTGTAGGAAATATATCGCTCACTCTACGTGTCGTATCCCAAATGAGGTTGGAACATTTACCATCCAATCATTTGGCGGGGGGGGATTCCCCTTGTTTTGGTCTGGCGAAAGAAGACAGGTTCTCTTACACAACTCTGCTTCCTCACCGTCTGTTTGGTTGACTCGCTGGGAGCTAAGTAATTTGTTTAACAGCACACGCCTGTCATCTGCTTTCACTTACACGCGCCGCCCCTCGGCCGACCTTCGTTATCATTCTGATGGCGCTCTCAGCTTTGACAGAGCCAAGCATTTCCATTTCGACGTTGCTTCTGCTGCCGTAAGTCGTCCGTCGCCTGGTCGGTCCAACGAATCAACAAATTCCCCGACTAACTGCTTGCTCTGCCGTGCATGGCAGCCGGCAACTGCATGCTCAGCCATGTCTGTAGGCTCTATCTCTCATCGAAATGAACCGTGCATGTGCAAGTGCTACCTGATCATCGAGAAAAACGAAACGAAACCGGGAACCCAATTGAGGTCGTGGCCATATCAAGCATAATACCGTGACAGAACTCCGGTACTGGCCATTACTTAACAGCAGCTGCCACTGACTCTGGATTTCCAGAACGCCCTGATGCGATACTTTGGATTACCAGGAAACCATTATGGTTGAAGTAGAAACTTAGGTATTCTTAGCATACCTTCGCAGCACAGGATGGCAATTGTAGATTATCGATGCACGAGGATCAATTAATTGCCTTACTGCCAGACACGTTGCAGTCTCCACGAGGTAGAGAATGTCTCAAAGCCATAGGGCCCGCATTATGGGCCTTTCAACCTTCCATCCTCTCAATCCGTGAGGTAAATATTCCCTTTGACGTTCCCCATCTTCATCCTGCCTTCCGAAGAAATGATAGGTACCTGCTGGAGATGACCCCCAAACCGAAGGTGGCCCCGCCAGTCACGGAGGCCGGGACTCTGGACGCGGCGGGGAACCACGTTAAACACCTAAAAACAAAAGCCCCACCACAGCCCGGACCAAGCTCAAGCTTCTCTATTTTCCTCGCACCGAGCCACCGACCTCAACCCCCCCGGGCCGTAGATGAGCAAACACCTAGCGCAACCCTCGACGACGTCACTCAAGACGACCACCGACACCTCCTTGCGCTCAACACACGACCACAACAACAGTTGAGAGGGCATATTGGCTGATTTTGCCACAAGTCGGCCACTTGTGATATTTGTGTCGCCACTACGAGAACTCCCACGCACCAACACCCTCCTCCCCCCAATACACAGCACATTCGCACGCACGCAGGCGAACACGCGCAATGGCGGATAGAGGATCACACAGAGGCGGCGGTCGAGGAGGTGGCGGTGGAAGTGGCTACCGCGGACGTGGAGGCGGAGGAGGAGGACGCGGAGGTGGCGGCGGCGGCGACCGCGGAGGAGCCCAGGGGTCCGGCGGCGACCGTGAGAGGCCCAAGAAGGAGAATATTCTCGACCTGTCAAAGTACATGGACAAACAGATCACCGTCAAGTTCAACGGCGGGCGCGAAGGTTGGTTTCTTGTACCGTTCCTGGCAATGTGTCACCCAGGGGAGGGAGGAAACCTCGCTAACCTACAACGTGCGCAGTTACCGGCACACTCAAGGGATATGATGCCTTGATGAACCTAGTCTTGGACGAAGTCCAGGAGGTCATGAGAGGTAAACTTACCCACCAGATATCCGGGCGAAATTCAAATGCTGACACGTCTTCTGAACGAAACAGATGAGGAAGGAAACGAAACAACAAGATCCCTCGGCCTCGTCGTTGCCCGCGGAACTCTACTCGTTCTTGTCAGCCCTGTCGATGGCAGCGAACCCATAGCGAACCCCTTTGCGCAGCCTGATGAGGAATGATGTTTGCTCGGGAGGAGCCACAAGGACAACGGCTGGGGATGACTTCATGACATGGCTGGGGCGAAGAGGGGTGGCAATGCTGGTCTTTGGGCCTAGCGAGGAATAAAGAAGACGCTGAACAGTCTGCATGAAAGAACCAAAAAGGGGAAGCTGTGGCCTCTAGTATAAGGCACAACTGTGCTGGGACTTGCATCCGCAGCAACAGGACACTTCAGCGATAATGGCATGTCGACACTTACCAAAACACTCACTGGCTGAAATGAAGGGGCTCTGGTGCCGAACACGATGATGGCAAGAGGGTCTGATGTGCACCGTTCCAGAAAATGGACAAACCAACTCATCGATAAACATGCCTTATCACCAGCCAAGGGAACAAATGCATTGAAACTGGTTTCGTTACTCTTTTCTCCTCGCCACTATATCCTCCCCCGTGCTTCAGAGTGAAAGGGCCCCGCATCCAGCGAGGCCGACTATCGTCATTTCTATACTTCTTTGCATCGCTTTCCCAACGGAGTCGGTAGACTCTTATACGCTCGAATTTGCCAGTGCTCCCCATTTTGCGCTACTCGCCTGTTCATCCTCCACGCACAGCTCCAACCGTCCATCCAGAATCCAACACTGTAAACCAATGTTGAGGTCATCGCGCCCAAGCCCTGCGTGTCTCGTTGTTCATATCACCCCGAGGATCGAGCTCCCGATAACTAGAGTCATCTTTCTCGGGGAGTTGATGACAACGGTAATAATCGTAATCGGAACAAGAAACCCTCCGATTCCTCCAGCTCTAGTGAGAGGATCCCTGGAATCCTCGTGCCGTCGATTGCTTCCCTGCCTTGAGAAGTTCACCGAACGCGTTGCTGAGTTGCTTCTTCAGGTCCTTATAACTGACTACGAAGCTTGTCTGCTCATCCCGGCTTGTGAGGCAGATTCTGTCGTCACTACCAGCATCCAGTCTGTTCAAACACCGGATGATGTGGCCCATGTCCACCACAGGATTGCCATTTGCATCGACCTGGTGGAAGACATAGTCACGGAAGAGCTTCAGCATATATCGTTCGCCATTTTCTGACCATGCCCTGTCGCCATCAAACTCCTGTCTCTCGTTGACGGTACCAAGTTTGGCCATCAAGCGCACTAGCCGGCCATTCTCCAATTCTCGGAACAATTCTGACTTCACCGTGTCAGTCTCTTGCAGGCTAGCGTCCAGTGTGGCCACCATGTGAACAGCAATGCCTCGGACGAATTCCTCGATCCCCTTGGGTGTGGCGCCTGCTGGAGCTGGAGTCAAGAGCCACAGGACAGTATCAGTGAGCTCTTTAGAATACACCCGGCTCATCTGCTCCATGGATCCCTTCAGGTTGGTGAGCTGATTGGGCGGCGTATTAGTTGCCAGAGAAAGTATCAGCTTGCCAAATTGAATTAGATCTTCTTGTTGTAGCTCCTGGACCGGGCGACGAGCTTCAAAATGGACCACATCCAGGATAGAGCATGCACTAAGCCGAATGCGGTTCTTATCGGTGACTATCACCTTGCTCATATCGAGGCAGCGTGCAGCCAGGTTCAAGGTATGGATAGCCTTCAGTGCGTTCGCTAACTGCGATACGTAACCCCACAAGACGCTTTCCGCGATAGGGTTCTTCGCGTTGAAGCGGGTGCCATGAGTCGTGTTGGATTGGGCGAAGTGTACCTCCGCAAGTGTCTTGGATAGAGGGTGGTAGTCTTGAACGAAGAAGAGAGAGCTGTCGCCAAATGCCCGAGTGGTGAAGGCGTCGTGGATTGTAACCACGCCCCCGTTGTTGAGCTTCCGCCATTCTTTCACCGAGCGGATGGATTGCTCGTTGGTTAACCGGAAGCCTGATTTACGTCAGTTCGGTTCTAACCATGATTGATTGTGAAACCTACCCTCGAGTCGTCGGAGGCAGTAGGTTTTCCCGCTCTTTGACGACGTCGCCTTGTATACCCAGGTGGTGTATCCGAAAACGCTAGAGCTCTTTCGATGACTGGTATCAAGAGGAACGAGCGAGTAATAGTTATCAAGCGGAGGAAGCGTTGAGTCTGTATTGACATGAGCTTCAAGCGTCATCTCAATTCTCGTTCCAACTTACTCGGCATGACCTGTTGCAAGGCCTCCGACTTGCGTTGCATTTCCTCGCGAAGCTTTTCGGGTAGGAAAAAATCATGCACTTGTCTCTGGAATGGCAACAAGTCGTCTCTGTATGGTCCCACCGGAGCATACAGGTGGTATTGAAGCTACCTTCGATTAGTGTCGCCACATCTAATTCCCGGCTAGCGGACCTTACGGGCTGAAGGGGGGTGGCGTAGGCATTTTGATGTTGAAAGTATGCCGCGTTTGAGCCAGCAAGGCCAGTCGGGTCATCCGCATATGGGTTGAAGGGTGTGGCCGGCAAGGCCTGGCCAACGCTGGGCATGGTAAAGGGGTCATATGAGAGCCCCGTGTCTGAGGCGGCACCATTGGTGGTTATCTAGAAGGGTTTTTAGTCTACAGTACCATGGCTGGGCAAGGGGGTCTTGTTGTTCCTACCCCGGTACTCAGTTCAAAATTCGAAGGTGTGAATTCCCGAAAGGTTGCGGGGTTAAAAACGGTTGATGAAGCCTCACCCTCCGGAGCGGCAGCAGGGGTCGCAGCTATGAAAGTAAAATATTAGTATTTGAATTCCACTCATCCAAAGAATAGGTGATGGCATACAGCCTGCTCCCCTGGGAGTAAAGACAGCTGCGCTGGCTGCTTGTGAGGAAAATGTTGATTTCTTTGATGGGCCACCTAGCGCATTTGCGCTCGGTGATGCTGCAGACGACAGCCCGGCCGGGGTGAATGACGGTGAATCGACATTGAGTACCTTTCTCGCACTACGGGAGTACACGTGTCAGCCATACCCTTTAAAATTCCATAGTCCAGGTGCCGAGCTGTTTCGACGTTTGGGACTCCATGACTCTGGTATATGCGTCACATCCTCTGCGGCACTTGAACGCCCAGCGTTACAATGTCTCTCTCCGAGATTCGACTGATCTGACTACACTGAGAGAGCCAGTAACTCAAGATACGGATAGCTTTCGCTGTCCGAGACATCATTGAAGATATTGTGCTTCAGCAGAGACGGCGAAACGTATCCCTTTCGATCTTGTCGAGTGCACTATGGATATGATGCGGTGCCATGTATGGTTGCAACTACCAAGCGAAGAGGCTACGACATTCCTATCGCAGCTTCCTCCGAGGTCTCGCAACAGCAAATAAACTCCCACAATGCCGTGGAAGAGCATCGAGAAGGTAAAGGGTGGTGACACAGAGTTCCGGTTATTTGGAGCAGGAGACGGACATCGCGGTTCGAGAGAAGAAGAAAACGAAACAAGGCAGCGTAGAAGATGAATACCTACAAGTCAGACTGATTACTCTGGCCGCCGGGGCTATTCTGGACCGAGTTCGATCGGTTCTGGTCATGGTTAAAGGCACAGCCCGTATTCTCGTATCGGCAGTGCCCGTAGATGAGTACGTTTCGGCATAGTGTCTCCTTGTTTTCTGATGTAATTGATGATATGTCAGCTGTGGTGTCACGGCAAAGTGGCCGGAAAAGTGTATGGGCGCGTCCACTCGCCTCGAGTTTTGGGCTTTGGCGACCCAACTTGTCGACGAAGGTCGGACTGGGGGTATCGCGAGGTCGCCATGGTTAATAGGTTCGATGGAAAAGAAGTTTGCCGCCCTGGTCGACGCTACGACGTCTGCATAGAGTCAGCCAAATCCAGAGCCCATGGTCGAACTGTCGTCGAGGTCGTTTTCATGGCTAGGATGCGCGCGCGCTGGGTGAGGACGGGGAAGCGACCGGGCTGGTTTGAGCGGGGGAGGGAACAGAAGACAAAGGCGGGTACAGGAGAACACTGAAGGACTGGAGCTCGCGTGGGGCTGGCGCGAAGCCGGACGGGGGTCGATTTTTGGGCGGACGCACTTGATCCTTGCAGACATTTCCCATGGCTCGAACACTTTTGGTGGGGTATGTGTCTCGGTCATGGACACGCACGATGTCCGAACGGAGGTGATGGTGAGGTTGGCTGGTGATCAATCCGACAAGCTTAGCAAAGGTAGGATGATGTAAGGCGCAGTCGTTGGAATAGGGTACGGCGGTAAGGCAGGGTTAGATGTAGGCGCGCGAGCCGAGGCGAGGAGGATGTCTGCAGCCCACCGCAGATAAGAAGACGTAGGTGGTGGACAAGGGACCGGTGACAGCGACGGCGGAGAGCGGTGGTGTCGGTGGGAATGCGATGAGGTAAGGTGCCCCCCGTCCTTCCTGCAGAAGAGGTCGGGGCAAGCAGAGAAACGGATTTTGTTGGTGGTGTGCCGTCCTTGGTGGGAAATGAGCACCGGTAGGTCGATGGTAGAATCAACCCAGGACAGACGGCTTGACCCCTTGGCGGGATGATGACACACCGCCGTAACTTGAAGGCCACTAGAAGTCAATGCTCTCCGGTGCTGGACCTTCCTCGCAATGTGTCTGAAAGGTGCGCTGAAGCAGTGGACTGACTGGGTGCGAGTCCGGTTATCTCCCATTGTTCGAGCTGCTGTGCAATAACAACATTCAACTTGGCTGTTCCCTCATTAGATACATGGGGTCTGAATCATTGCCCTCACTTCTGGAAGGCTATATTCATCTAGCAGACCTTGATTGAACTATCTATTCGCATGCTCGTGTAAGGTATGCAAGTAGACCGAATCCCATGCTGATAAGCGATAAGCTTTTCAATAAGCTGCGGCCTTCCTAACACGGACCATTGTAGATATTCTGTACCTCAGGCCTCAACCATTAACGACAGGCAAGCAGGTACCCTCCTCACCTACCTTAGGTACCCTTCCACCAACCTGTCTTAGTACCATACATAGTCTATCTTACCCGGGCACCTCCACCCTGAAGCCGTGGACAAGTGTCGTCACTGGACACCCACCTGTTAGCTTCCATCAAAGCCCATTAGGGTAGGTATCCAGCCTTTCTTTTCCTATAGCCAAACACCTGCCAGACCCTTTGACCCTTTGACCAACCTGTCGACTTCCCGCCAATCTCCCAAACTTGATCCGTTCGAGCTGCTGTCCATCTTAACTTCTCAGGCGCAATTCCCGATACCAAGCCACTTGCTACCTGGCCCATAACCAGCCCGTTCCTCCTACATCTGAACTCTACCGCGACCTTTACTTGTTGGCTTGCTCAACCGCCTGACCCATGGACCGTTGAGCTCAGTATCACATTTGCAACCCATCGCAACATAACCTGTTGATACTTGGCCTTGCATCCACGGCTAGCCGTCAACATGGCGGAGAGCGGAGATCTGGACTTGGGGCAGCTGTCGACAAGTCAGCAAGAGGCTCTACAGCAGTATACTAGTGTCACAAATCAAGACCTCAAGGATGCAATACCATTACTGCAGCGATCGCAATGGAATGTCCAAGTAAGTTCTGCTATACGAACCTGCCGCACGTCTTTTGTCAGTCGCGCTGATCACCGTGTTCGTAGATCGCCATCGCCAAGTTTTTTGACGGCGAAGGTCCTGACCCAGTCGCAGAGGCCATGGCACAAGAGATTCCTCGCACGACAGCACGGCACGAGAACCTCCAAGAAAGCCTGCATGCCTCTGCAGGTCGACCGCAAGCTCCTCGAAGAGACCGTCCCGACCCCGCGCCGCGCATCGTTCCCCGGCCGAATATCGTCCACCGACCGCCTTTTCTGATAGGGCTGCTGTTGGCACCCTTCAGCATCGGATACAGTATTGCGTCCAAGATTTTCCGTACAGTCCTCTACCTAGTCAATTTCCTTCCGAGGCAGATTCGGCCACGGACCATTACAAGTGGGCCCGGGACTGGGCTTAGGAGCACCAACGGGCGCCGCATGTTGATGCCCCGGGATACTGCTGCGCGATTCAAGCGTGAATTTGAAGAAGAGTATGGAAATACGGTTCTACCGTGGTTCGAGGGGGGCATTGCCCAGGCCCAAGACCTGGCCAAAAAAGAGCTTAAGTTTCTGCTCGTCGTCCTCATGTCACCCGAGCACGACGACACAGAATCCTTTACAAGAGAGACTTTGTTGGCCCCGGACGTGGTCAGCTTCATCAACGACCCAGCGAACAACATCATTTTGTGGGGCGGCAACATTCTGGACTCGGAAGCATACCAGGTTGCCCAAGAATACAACTGCACGAAGTACCCGTTCTCGGCGATAGTATGCCTCACACCCAAGGAAGGAAGCACCAGAATGAGTATCATCAAGCGCCTAGCTGGGCCTATGCCAGCCTCTACATATCTTTCAGAGGCACAGGCCGCCCTCGACAAATATGCCCCGGACTTGGCAGGCGTTCGAGCTGAAAGAACAGCGCAGGAAGTGACGCGGAGCCTCAGGAACGAACAAGATTCTGCCTACGAACGCTCGCTTGCCAAGGACAGAGAGAGGGCACGGCAACGGCGTGAAGCAGAAAAGGCTGCGGCGGAGGCTGCGCGGAAAGCCGAGGAAGAGGCCGAGGCTGCCGCAAGACGCGGGGAACAGCGTGAGAAGTGGAAACGCTGGCGGGCTACGACAATGAAAGCCGAGCCGCCAGCGAGCAGCAAAGATGTTGTCCGGATTGCTTTGAAGATGCCCGAGTCATCTGGCGCCGGGAGAATTGTGCGCAGGTTCCAAAACGATACCACGATGGAATCACTCTATGCATTCGTGGAATGCTACGACGTGTTGACCGCACCTGAGGAGGTTACAGAAAAGGCGCCGGTGCAACCCGAAGACTACGAACACACATACCAGTTCCGTATCGCATCTGTAATGCCCAGGATTGTGTACGAGCCTAGCAAGGAGGAGACGATGGCACAGAAGATTGGGCGGTCAGGAAACCTAATTGTGGAGGACGTGTCGGCCGACGACGAGTCAGACGAAGGAGACGAGAACTTGTCTTAGACAATGCATGTGCATCACGGCACCCGATCAAGCGTATATAGTTTATGTCGGGTCGGGAAAACACATAATCGATAGCCGGCCGCGCCATACTGTTTGCGCATATATCCAGTGATCGATAACGAACTTGTAAATCAATGCCCGAATTTCGAAAGGTGATGATCAGCTGATCGCAGAGTACACGTGGACGCTGTGACCGAGAGGGTCCCGCGGGAAGCGCCTTGGCTAGCAAATGAGGTGAACAAGTTGGAGACGGAAAGAGGCAGCCTGGTGATGCAAGGACGCTAAACGTGGTGATTTGCGTGGCATTTGATGCCTGGTGCCTCGGTAGTCCGCAAAGTAACAAGATCAAAAGAAGACACGATCCGGCGGGTCCTGTGGCGCTGTGGTCGATGTACGTAAGCGGTGCGAGAGTAAGTGCTTGCGTGGAAGTGGGAGGCTGTGCAGATAGACAGAGAGACAGACAGACAGACGTACATGAATGACTAGTGTAAGTGCACTCAGCCGAAGAGAATGTGTTAAGGAGAACGGAATGAACGGCGCTGGTGGCACCGAGGGTTCAGGGACAAGAGTGGCATTGCCAGACTGTTGTTTGCCGAAAGAAAGAGCAAAAGAAGGATTCCAAGGACATGAAGTCGTCGATAACCAAGTATCAGTCGAGACAGACCAGTCAGAGCAAGCAGACCATGGCAGGACGGCCGTTCGATCTTGTGTAGAAGAGGACCCTGGATTATCGCATGAATCTCGCCTGACCCATTTACCCGCATGCGTCAAAACGGGGGTTGTCTCTGATTTATGCCACCCCGATATCGACGTAGTCGTTCTCCAGCAAAAGGAAGGGAAGTCCATCTACCAGACCAGCTCTGGAAGACTGCCAGCTGGCTGCGTTGCCCAAATGTATGGTAATGCAAGAACTGGTTGAAAGGAAATCTGCAGGAGGAACGTCGAACGAGATGCATTCCTGAAACCAAAGTGGGGGAGGCGTAAGAGCAGAATCTGGTGCGACGGTGAGCAAGAAAGTACCCTGGAACTTAACGCTGGTTGGTGTCACTTTCCTATCCTGGGCAGATGCGACAAGGGTGCCATTTGGTGTGTACAAAGTACAGTGTATGCGTATAAGTACTTAGGTATGTGTGTTACTATCATTAAGTAGTGCGTTTAGGGGGCAATTCATGTAGTTAAAAGTGGCTTATTTCTTCTATCTATAGTACTATAATCTATGTTCCTTAAATATTGCCTTGCTTAGTAGATTCTACTGCAAGTATCTGTATTTAGGAGCAAGGGTTAGATTAATAAGCAATATTATTCTAGAAAGCAGTATTAGTTAGCAATATCCTATGTAATATACCCCCTTAGGCGTTAGCGTAGGTTACTATACGCCTAGATATAAAAGAAAAATAGTTCTTTTAGTGTAAAAAGGCTAGTTATTATATAATTATAGGCTTCTAGTATTAGGTGTTCCTATTAGTAAGGCTACTTACTATAAGGTTAGCCTATACACTAGTAAATATTTACCTTAAGGCTAAATTTATAGTTACTTTTTTTTTTTTCTTTAATAACTATAATAATAATTATAAGTTATATTATTATTTTTATTATAATTAATCTTTAACTTATTATTTTTTATATTATTATACTACTTTATTTAATTATTAATTCTTTTTTTTTTTTAAATATCTTATAAAACTATTACTTTTAGTAAGGCTTATATATATACTTTTATAGCTACTATAGGCCTTAAGGCTATAGTAGTCTTATTACTATATAACTACTATAGTTACTATAAGTGTACTTTATCTTCTCTTAAGAAAAAGAGAAGACCTTTAGTAAGTCTATAAGGAAGTAAAAACCTTCTATAAATAAGTCTTATAAGTATTATTTTATTACTAGTTAATTAATTTTAGTACTAAAGAATAAGTATAACTTTTAAAAGTAATAATAAGTAGTCTCTCTAGAAACTAGCCTTCTTAACTTTAGTTAAAAGAAGCTAAGTAACTTAGGCCTAGATTTACCTTTAGCTAGTATATTACTACTTATTATTACTTAGTTATTTCTTAATTACTAACTTATTTTATAGATAATAAAGTAGTAGTAAAGTAGTTACTTTTTACCTTTATACTAATAATAAAGAGAACCTACTATTATCTCCTAAGGTTAAAGAGGATTTAGGTAGTAATAATAATACCTTTATAAAGGCACTAGAGTACTAGGAGAGTACAGTAAAAAGACCTACTATTATTAGCCTTTATAAGTATTACTTAAGGAGTACACTTATAGGTTAATCTAATAGTAAGTGTCTCTTAGGTCTTAGCCTTAAATATTACTAATATATTATATATTAGTATATATATATACTATTTACCCCTAAGGTTATTAGCCTAGCTAATACCTTCTTATATACTCTAAGTAATAAAAGGGCCTTATATAAAGTAAGTTACTTTTTATTTATATAATAGTTACTTTTACTTATATATCTTTATTTTAGGTAATTATAGCTATATAGTTATATATATAAATAGTTTTACCTTAAACCCTAAAGAAGTAAAAGGCTACTTTACTTATAATTATCTTTTTTAATAAAGATAAAGAGGAAGAGGATAAAGAAGAAGAGAAAGAAAAGGAGAAAGAGGAGGTATATAATAGAGTAGGTAGCCTTAAGGATCCCTTTATAGAGGCTATTACCCTAAGTGTTCCTTTAGCTTCCCTATTAGTCCTTATATATATTATAGTGTCTTTATTAGTGCTACTTATATATAGGTTAACCTTAATAGCTTTATTAGTAAGCTCCCTCTTATATAGGGGACTTACTTTATATTTTATTATCTCTTAGATAATTATATAGATACCTTCCTTTATTAATAATAGGCTTCTTAGCCCTTAGGCTATTTTTACTTTTTTAAAACGTTAGGCTCTTTAGCCTATAGGCTATTTTTTAATTTTTACTTTAGCTTAGGCCCCTTAGCCCTAGGCTATTATTTAATTTTAGAGAAGTTTTTACTTTTACTTTTCTTGTTATTTATTAATTAGGTCCTTATTTCTTTTTATCTTACTATATACTATATATCTTATAAGTTAAGGAGTACTCTAAAGTGCTTAAATTTAGCTTATAAGAGATTCTTAGTAAGTTTATTTACTAGTATTTTATTTATTAGTAGATATATAATATTAACTTTACTTTTATATAGACCTCTTATAGCTATATATTTTAAATATTAATATAGTAAAGTTATATTATAATTCTTTTTTTTCCTTTATAACTAAGTAAATTATCTATTAGTTATTATATTATACTACCTATATATTATCTTTTAATTTAAGGTAAATATTATAAAAGAGGTATTTTAAGTAATAAGCTCTTTAGTTATATAGTTAAGAGTAAGAAGCTTAGCTTTAGTTATTAATATTATAACTATTACTTAGTAAGTTACTTTTAATAGATTAGGCTACTAAAAGATATATAATATACCTTTAGGATAACTAGTAAGTAATTATATTATTAGTAAAAGAAGTATTACTTATATAGAGGAGTTATATACCTCCTAAGATACTAAAGTATATTAATAAATATAAGGTATAAAAAAGGTATTAAATATACTACTTTACTACTTAAATATAGTATATACTTAGGTTTATTAGGTACCTAGAAAGAGTAAGTAAATAAATACTATATTTAGCTAGATTATTATAGTAGTATATAGAATTAATCTAACTATCTCTTAAAATAGTTTTACTTTTACTAGTGTTACTGTCCCCTTGTTTTAGAGAAAGTCTATTATTAGTAGTAGTGTTATAAGAGAAATCCTGTCTATACACTTAAACTTTATAGCTATATTATAGATATATTAGTTATAGTAAAAGTATATCTTCTAGTTAGGTCTATTATATATAATATAAATACCTAGATACTACTTTACTTCTCTAAGGTTCTTTATTTTATATACTTTTTTAGCCTTATAATAATTACTTCTTTTACCTTCTTACTTTTTTTAGGTATATAATAAGAATATTATTAATATAAAAGAGTATATATATAGTATACTCCTTAGAAATAAAGAGACAAAGGTCTTCCTTTAATAATAAAGTCCTAGGCTTTTTAGTATCTTTATAAACTTCTTAAACTAAAGAAGAGGTATATTATATAACCTATATAAGGCTTATATAATAATACTACTTTTCTTTTTACTAATAACCTAGTAGTAGCTTATAGTATACTAGCTTTTTAATAAGTCTCTTTTAGTATTAAGAAATATATTAACTATATTAAGTTACTTAACTTTAAGGTTAAATTATATAGTAATAGCTATTACTATATAAAAGGTTTATACTATAAAGGTTACTATATATATCTAAAGAAAGAGGTTTTTTCTTATATATCTTCCCTTATAATAACTTATGCCTTACTATAGTTAAGATATTCTTCTAGATCTTATTATATATTTATACCTACTTTAATAAGAGAAGCCTTATTCCTAGTAGTAAATCTTGCTTATTAATTACCTTAAACACTTTAAGACACCTTAGTTCTATAATTTTATAGTCTATTACTTATTATAGTAGTTAATAAAGGTCTAGAGGTATCTTAATTAACTCTTTAGTATCTATAGTAGTCTTATAAGATTATTATAATAATATTACTTCTTATTTAATATTTATAGTATATAATAGGTTATTAGCTTATATATTACTATATTTACTATAGTATATAGTATATAGTGCCTATTACTTACTTTAGCTTTTGCTTTTTATTAATTATTTAAGAAGGTTATAAAGAAGCTCTTAGGGCTTAGTCTTTTCTTTAACTAAGGGACAAAAGAATACCCCCTTAGAGGTACTAGTAGATGCCTTACTCCTAGTCTATACTTTAGTATACTAAAGTTAACTATACTTTATATACTAAAGAGCGCCTTTATTATTAGCTTATTTTTATTTCTTAGCCTTACTTCTCTTAGATTAGATATTAGGTTAATATATAGCTATATATTAATTATATATCTTTACTATTTTAGAACACTAGTTATTATCTAGTAGTATAAAGGTTAAAAGACCTTTTTATATAAGGTTATAATCCTTCTTATACTATAGTACTTAGCCTTATTATATAATCTACTACTTAACTATTATTAAGTATTACACTAGTTAACTAATTTTAGAGGATAAGGTGTCTTAGTATTTAGATTACTAGGGCCTAGTGTTATCTTAGAGTCTATACCTCTTCTTTTCCTCTTATAGTAATACTTAGTTATATTACTTAATATCTTAAGTAATTACTTTAGTATTACTTAATAAAGGATTATTATTTATATTATAGTAACTATTATTTTAATACTATTATTATTACTTTTATTAACCTAAGTATATTTATTATTATATCTTACTTATAGTCTTTATTTTAATAATTTTAACTATACTTTTTACTTTTAACTTTACTATTATATTACTTTTTTTTTTTACTTTAAAAGAACTTTATTTATTAAAGCGTATATTATATATAATAATTACCTTATATAGTAAAGGTACCTAAATCCTATAAAGGTTATATATATTTTATATATATCCTACTAGGTATCTAATATACCCTTATAGTTTAACTTTAAATTATCTTTTCTAAATACCTTTCTTATAGTTACTTATTAATAAATAAGCTTAATATCTATATATATATATTTATCCTAGTAAAAAAAGATTATACTATAATACTACTATATACACTAGTGCCTACTAGTAAAAGTACTATCTAAACTAGGCCTCTTTTTCTTAATAAGTAAAGTCTAGTTATAATATAGAGAAGGCTTATATTATATATATAGATTACTATAAGTGCTACCTCTAGCTATAGTTTATAGGGTAGTCTAGAAGACAAGAGTATTTTACTATATAAGTAATAATTTTTTACTTTACTTTTTTTTACTGCCTATAGGCTTTTTATATTTAGTAGAAGAAGCTTTATATTTATCTTAAGCTTTACTATTTATCTTTTATACTCTATATCTCCTTTAATACTAATAACTAATATATTTTATCTTAGTAAATCTTATAAATATTAACCTTTTACTACTAAGTAACCTAAGTAATAAATCTATAGATAACTAAGA